AAGGGCGCCATTCTGCTCATTTCGCCACCAACATTTTCAATTTGTTTCTAAGACAAGTGTTCCAGATCATATGTTAAGTTTTATGGAAGTAATGCTTGCCGATCTGGCTTGCTTGTAGGACAGATTACGGGCGATTCCATTGTGGTTTACAGTTCCGCTCTACAGCTCTTGCGGGTGGCTACATGGGACAAATGTTCAATGATTCAGAAGGATTAATGGCGAGGGCAAGGGAGGCTTAAATGGTTATTTCTGGTTTATGGACTGTATTTAATCAGCCTTGCGTTCTGGGTCAGAGTCAAGTTCGTGGCTCAGTCTGGCACTCTATTAGGTGAAGTACGGACTCGAGTGCTGTCAGTTGGAATCGGTCATAATTGACGCCCATTGTGTGAGGCGGACAAAAGAGCCTCAACAAGCAATGACTGGATTTCGGCATTTTCATATCTAGAATGTGCAGTTTTGAGAATTTCGTGCGTTCTGTGGTGAATCATGCTGTCATTCGTTCGTCTTCTCGACACATGCTCATCCGAAGTCTCCATCCACTCCTTTATGTATTCTACGGAGCCCCAGTGAAGAGGTCTGCCTTTACCAAGCTGGCAGAAGTCGTGTTCTCCTTCATAATTTTACAATTTATTCCGAGCAGTCCAAAGGACTGATAATCTTATCCTTAAACCGGCTCTGTGGGTTCCTGTACCTCCTATCAACGGTTCTCTCAAGCCAGAGTTTCGCATTCTGTCAAATTATGGCTTGCTTATTCATTCCACTCGCTAAACTACATATTTTTGAAGCCCTGGAGCTCTAGTCACGGATGTCGCTTTCAAGGTCTGACAATCCGTGCTCCATGTGCATTGAAATGAATACACGCCGGGTGGGGCTGTTGGCACGAACATGTACAGACACTGGTTTGAACTAAACTTGATACGCCTGGTACATCTTCACATAGAGTACTGTTGCAGCATAGAGCCATACACTAAGTGCATACTGTTTTCAGTTTTCTGGGTCTAATAAATGTCTTGCTCATGCTGAGTATAGTCGAGCTTGGCCAAACGGTCCCAGTTTGCTAGACCCTACGAATGAAACCTCAATTTACCACAATACTGAATTGAAAAGTTGAAATAACTCTCTAGCTGGTTTATTGTGCGTGCCACTTTGCTTTTCCCAGAACTTCATATTGGATGGTAAAATATTTTTGTAACGGGTTTATTTCATTTTGACGAGACCTTATTACGCATAGATAACCACGTTTCCAAAATATACTAGTTCATGTTTAATGGTTTACCGAGTGCTCCGGTACGAATTACTTGTATGGTTGCCTAAACAGGACACGGGAACAGGAACCATCCGAAGTACATATAGCTTTGCGCCAAAGTCCGGAGAAATTGGGTTTAGGATTAAGGTGAGTGTTAGAGTTCGGTTTAAGATCGAGGTTAAGGAATTCTAAAAAAACAAATCGCGGGTTCGAGCCTCAAGTGCCGCAACATCCGTGGTCGGGTATGACTGGCTAATGCCGGCTAGTAAGCCAGAAATGCCCATTCCAGTCTCCCTTATATTTCTCAGCAATGTTCATCTGTCTGTAACACTAGTCGCTCTGCGGCTGCTGGCGGTGCTCGAGAGTGAGCTCCGTCCCGTAACCACTCGGTGAACGGCTACCTTCCAGGTTCCTGTAATCTCACACAGGGTTCCAGTTTTCGTTCATGCTCATTTTTTATTTAACAGACCAGCGCGTCCTGCTTTTCTGTTGATTAACTGCGATCCCTTTGCTTTATCACAGGTTATTTTGAAACAACAACAACTTGGGCGAAAGCTCTCCCTCATCGATGTCTTCAAGATGGAGTATCGACTGAGTCAGCGGTTCAGTGAGGGACATGACTTCCCCGAGGGTGTAAGGGCGGCTCTGATTGACAAGGACAAGTCGCCAAAATGGAACCCCGCCACCCTCGCTGAGGTGACCGAAGACGCGCTGAAGTCGCTGTTTGAGCCATTATCAGCGGCAGACGAGTGGTCACCATAGTTTGGAGTTTCTTTTCACTCGTTCAGGGAATGGGCCGTGTGTGTCCATCATCCGAGGACCTCCCTTCCCCCTAGTTCGGCTTCCCTCTTTGGATTTATCCTTCTCATCGTATCCACAACGGATGGTACATATTCCTTCGATACCTCCGCCTTTTTATGCTTCTGTTCTTTTGTTTTTTGCTTTGCTCTCTTTCTAACATGTCAAAGCGCAATGTTTTCGCTTTTCGACAACAGTGAAACTGCCTATATCGGGCGTGTTATTGCGCCAGTCGACGTTATTGCTCTTCAACCCTGAAGGCCCCATCGGCTTATTCAGTAAATTTATTTTTGTACCTTTGCTTCCATGTCACGTGTCAACTTTTGTATGCTATATCATGCCGATCTGAGTGTCGTATCCAGCAGGCCTGTGGTACGGATCGCACAGAGGGCCTTTCGGGAAATTACCCGTTAGAATCTAGTTTCCTAAATATATATAAGTTTCTGATAATTCCAACTTTCCTTTGAAATGATGGAGCGAAATTGACACAGTCATTTCGGTTCTGGACTGCGTCTCAACCTTTTATGTAGACGCCGGCATTATATATTATCTACTTCAGCAGAATACCGCTAGCGTCCGCAAATATGACACTAGTACGTTTGACCTGGAAATCTGTATCATTTTTTAGTCTGGAGATAATTTTCTGACTAAAATCCCTTCTTTATAATTTTTCATGGCTCCCTCAGATAGAAGCGCCTGCAATTCTATTGCGGACACTTGTGCACAAGAATGCCGCATACTCGAAAGTTCGATCATCGTTTTTGATGTGTTCCACGGTGTGCCCCACAGTAAGCTTGCGCAGGACTGTAAATTACGCTTAAATTAGATTGTATGGGTAGTATATTTGCGTTACATCTACCGCGCTCTCTATCTCTCTGCCCCCCACCTGGGCCCAAGGTCATAACCAAGTCAAGAAGCCGGGATGCATGAGAGGGC